AAATCAATAAAATATAGTAATGAAACAAAAACATATATTTAATTATACTTGAAGACAGAATTAAATTCAATGAAAATCTTTCATCAAATGTATTTTTGTTAAATGATTATTAACCTATCAATTTATTTGATAATAATACAACAATCTAAGTTTTATCATTCTAAAAGAATTATGATTTGTAACAATTAAGAAGAATATTTATTTCATTACAAAAAGAAAGTATTGAACATTTATGTTGTGATTTATATCTCTAATATGTAAAAGTATGTTATTAATCAAATAAAAAGTATAATTAAGATATTTTAATCCTCATTTTAAATCTTTATTATTTCCTGATTTATGATTGAAAATAGATATTCTAATCCTTGTTTCTTTTGTCCATAAATTATGGTGGATAAGTTATTTTTATTTTCTGTAAGAATTTATTCAATAGTTAAATTATGTTTGTTTGAATGTTTGTTTATTTCAATTCATATATTTGATAGAAACAAAATAAGAGAATGGTATTTAATCATTTTAATCATGTTTAATAACTCAACAAATTGATCACAATTTTATTTAATGTATCAACACTCTTTTCTAAGACATTTACAAATGAGAATGAAATACTTTTTATGAACACTTTTAGAAGAAAGTGTGATGGATAAATACATAATATGATTTTAATTGATTTATTTCATGATAGTATTAAAATTAGAAAAGATAAATAAGAATGTTAATAACTTTGTTAGGTATTAGTTAATTCCTTCATTCACATATTATTTTTTTTTTGAGTTATGATGTGAAACATAATCAATTCTTTTATTTATTGGAGTTTATCTGTATAACATATTGTAGAGTATTTTATCTCTATTTTATTCATTCATCTATTATAAAATTTAAACAATTATCATGACTGATATTAATTAATATTCTTGTTGACAATGCAATACTACTCTCAGTGTTTGTTTTAGACTTTCATTAACTTTGTGTCGATTGATTTTATATGATGAAATCATTATTTGAGGAAATATAAATATTTAACAATAACACAAATAAATAAATAAATAAAGTTCTAATAAAAAGAAAAGAAAAAAACTTGAAAAAGAAGAAGAAAAAGATGAAACAAATCAATATCATCAAAACAAAACCAAAAGAACACAGTCGATGTACTTGTACCAATCCATTATATAGTTTTAGTGTATGTGCACAGTGTAAAAAAGTTATTTATAAGAAAGATAAAGAAACAGAAACAAGAAGAAGAACAGTAGTATTATCAATTGAAATAACACGACTTTTAAATGAATTTCAAAATATTATTGAATGGTATGATGGAAGTAAACCAGAAGAATTTATACCAATTCGAGATGAATTTATTGAAAGAGTTAATAGTGTAGTGAAAGAAGCATTTGAGAAAGAAAATAAAGAAATAGAAAGAAAAGAGAAAGAAAAAAAAATTAACAAGAAAAGAGAACAAATAATAGAAGAAATTATTAAAACAGAGAATGATTATTGTCAAGACATTAAATTAATAGAAAAATATTATCTAACAACATTAAAAAAATATATGAAAGAAGATGGAAAGAAACTAGAAGAAAAATTAAAAGAAATAGAAGAAGTTTCAATAGAAATTAATAATATAATGAAAAAAGGAAAGAATATTATTGAAGAAATTTATCAAAGAATTGATAAATTAAAAGTTTATGAAGAATATTTTATTCTTTATCATAAAAATATTAAAGTATTTGAAAATATTAGAAAGAATGAAGAATTTGAAAATATTAGAAATAAAAATAAAGAACTTAGACAACTTGATATAATGGATTTTCTTGTTAAACCAATTCAAAGAATAACAAAATATCCATTATTTATTAGAGAAATTAAACCATTATTAGTTTCTATTGATACCATTGAATTAGGAAGTAAAATAGAAAATAAAATTCAAGAAATTATGAAGAAACAAAATGAAAATCAAAGAAAATATCTTTCAGAAGAAATGATTAAAGAAATTGAACCACGATTAAATTGGAAAGAATTTGGAAAAAATTATAATTTAAGTAAAAGTAATGTATGTTTATTATTATTTAATGAAAATTTATTCATTACAGAAACCATTAGAAAAACAAATGATTTTCTTGATAAAAAAGAGCAATTTAATTGTATGTTAACATTCACTGATTTTATATTATTTGGAAGAACAAAATTATTAGGAAAAATTAAAATTTGTAAATATATTGAATTAATAAATTGTACTATTGATACTACAAATTGTAAACCTAATGAAATCATTTTATTCTATGATACTATTAATTATACAATTCAATTCTCGGATGTTTCAGAAAAATCTATTTGGATTACTAAATTTAATGAAATTCCACATAATCATTTAACAAAAATGCCTTTGTATTGTGATGAAGAATCAAATGATAAATCAAATGATGACAAAATAAATTCAAACCCATCTAATGACGTCTTTAATATTCTTACTACTTTTCATTCAACTTCACAACAACTTCCTCAACAACAAAAAATAGAAAAAGATCAAAGATTAAATAATGGAATAAATACACCACCACTTGAATCAGAAGAATCAATCTTGTAAATTGATTAATTTTTTTTTTTTTTATAAATTTCACATAAAATAATAACTTACAAAAACTAAAAACTAATATTAAAATTAATAAAAATTAAAAGAAGATGGAAGAAAAAAACATCATCTTAGTTTGTTGTGGTTCATATAATCCAATTCACTACATCCATTTATTACTATTTGAATTAACTAAAAACTATTTTAAAGAACATGGAAGAAATGTCGTGAAAGGAATCATTTCTCCTGCCAATGATTTATATTGGAAAAAAGGACTTCTTTCATCAAAACATCGTGTTGCAATGTGTCAAGAAGCTGTAAAAACATCAGATTGGATTATTGTTGATGATTGGGAAAGCACCCAAAAAGAATATGTACGCACATACAATGTATTAGCCCATGAAAGAGAGGTGTATGGGAATGATTATGACATTTACTTTATTGGAGCAGATGATTTAATTCCAAATATGATGAACAAAAATTGTTGGGACCAAGTCTTATTAGAAAAAATCGTTAATGAATTCGGTATTGTTTTCTTTAAACGAATAAATCCTAATTGCTCTGAACAAATCAAAAGTTATCCATTATTTGCTCGTCATTTAAATCATATTTTTATAATACAATCATTTCAATCTCAACATAGTTCAACATTAGTTCGTCAACTAGTAAAATCAGGAATGAGTATTAAGTATTTAGTACCTGATAGTGTTATTAATTATATTACAGAACATCAACTTTATCTTGAATAATTAAAATACTTTCAAACAATTTTAAAGAATTATTTTAATAAAAAAAAATATAATAAATTAATAATAAAAAATTCTATTAACAGGTAAAAGAAAAAATGAACTTAAAAGAATATTTTAATAGATGAGTAAAATAAGGAAAGTTACAAGAGAAGAATTGTTACAAGAATGTGATGTAATTAGACATAGCCTTAGGGCAAGTGATTTAAGTAATGCAACAAATATATTGAGTGGATTAATTACTCAAATAGATTTATTACCAACTGATTTGTCACATGTTTTAGAACGAGGTCTTAGAGGGGTTTTAGATTTTTTTATAACTCAACAAATGAGAAATACAACATTAACAAAAGATAATAATATACGATTTGTTATTGATTCATTATTAACATTTTATTCAAAACATATTTGTCTTACAATACAATCAATAAAAGTAAAAAATTCATTAAAAAGTTTAGTATTTTCATTAAAACAAGTATTTTTAATATTAAGACATCCACCTCAAGACACATTAAAAAAATATGCTAATTATTCTAAAACAGTAATTTCAATTTGGAATTCTATAGTTATTGCGTTTTCTACACCAAGCGATGCATGTGATGAATCGTTGTTAGAAATACTTGGAGATTGTTTAGATGAGTTTTATAGATTGTCTTTATTTACAAAAGGCATTGATGAGATGATGATTAATATCTCTTTTAGTCAAATTTCAGCTAAATCTGGAACAGAAAGAAAAGCTAAAACCAAATTTTTTATTACTATTTCACGATTTGGTAATTTACAATTTACTAATGCATTATCATTAGCATTAAATTCTATGGAAAAATTAATTTCTAGAGATAAAGAATTACTTGAGGCATTTACTAAAGATTATTGTAGTGCACTTGATTTAATAGTTAGTAATCCATTTAAGTATCAATGTATTTTTCAATTAGAAGCAAATGTATTAAAAAGTTTTGATTTTGAAGGAGTTTTAAGGTTCTTTAGTGAGATGAATGTTGTAACACACTCAAAAGAGATTTACGTTCAACACAATTATTTTATTTTATATTTTACTGTTATTTGGATTGGAATCCATGTAAAATCAATAGTTTCAGTAATTGTAGATGCTGTAGATTGTTTTAATTCATATATTCCCACATTATTAAAGAGTGGAGTAGAACAAGAAAGTACATTATTGTTATTAAGTGAATTGATAATTCTTTTTAATTGTAATAATAAAGAAAAAAGAAATGAAAGATTGTATAGTGCAAGTAAAACAATAATTTCTATTATTTCATTATTATTATCAACTAAATTTGATTATTTTGAAATTCTTTTAACAAGAAAAAAAGAAGAAATCATTACATTTGTTAATATTTTAGAATTTATGATTGATGACTCAAAAATTAAAGATAAAACTGAACAAATTAATTTCTTTTCAACGTTATTAACTGCTATATTTAATCAACCAAGAGATAAACATAAATATTATTTTGATATTCTTAATATTAAACCAAAAGAAATTTTTAATAAATTCATTTCATTTACTAACGGTAATGAAGCAAATATAAAAGCTGCTTATCTAGCTTTAGCAAAAGGAATTAATATTCTTATTGATGCTGATATTAAACAACACGCTGATATGTTATGGAAATTAGTAGACACTTTTTTTACTTTTCCAGTGACTTATCCTTTTAGTGTTACTTGTGCATATTTACGTTCATTACAACAACTTAAATTAAATAAACTTTTTAGAGCAGAAAAGCAATATGTTATTCCACAAATAAGAAGTGGTATTCATACAATTATTTGGGAAACAATTCGTTATTTCTTACGTAGTTCTAATGAAGCTATTGGAGAAACTGCTAGTGAAGTTGGTGGGAAAGTAGGTGTATTTCCCCTTCAAATTATTCATGACCCTATTTATCTTGTTAATGAACTAAGATGTGTACTATATGGAATTTCATATTCAACCGTATTTTCTTTGAGATATATTCTTCCAAGGCAAAAAAACCCATTAACTGGAAAAAAGAATTTAATAGAGTATGCAATTGATTCTTCTATGGCAATCGTTCAATTTCATAATTCTGTGTTATGTGGAAATGCAGTAAATACAAAAGTAAAATCGTTAACCAATTCAATCAAAATTATTACATATGCAGCATTAGAGTCACACATATCAAAGAAAGATATTTATAAGTATTCATTAGAATTTGTTTTAAAGTTACTTCATTGCTCTTTAAATGTATTTCATCCTCAAATCATTCTTCAAAGTAATCAATTTAATACTAAAAGTTCAGACAATTTATTACTATTTAAGTTAGGTGAAGAAATGGCAGAAATGTATTCAATGGCAAGTCATACAGCAACTCATCCGACAGAAACATTAGTAGATGAGTTGCTATTTTGTCTTGCTGTATTAATACGAAGAACAGGAAAAGATATTGTTTTAAATTATTTATATGATATATCCTCATATGTAAAATTATATCACATTGACCATCTTCTTGCTTGTGTTTCTATTCTTGATGAACTTACTGCATTAAGTTGTGGTGGAGTTATTGTGAGTGAGGATGAAGATATGATTAATTCAGCATTATTTAAAAATATTTCAAAAGAAATTACTACTTCAACAAATCAATCACAAAGCTCAGCTAGTCCTTCACAAATTAAACAATGCATAGTAGAAGAAAAAATAACTCCAACACAAGTTAACGACCAGATTCAAGAAAGGAAATTATCAAATAGTTCTTATAGAAATACATTGAATAAAAGGATAACTCAGAAGTTATCATTATTAATTGATAGCAATCTTTTTGTTAATGAAGAAGGAGAAAGTAAAGAAGAAAAGAAAATAAAACAAAACATAAATACTCATTCAAATTTATATCTTAAAAGAACAACAGAATCATTAAAATTTCATAATGATATTAATAAATTAAGAAAAGAAAAATATAGGCATAAAGGATATTCATTAACTGATCTTCAATGTATTACTAATCAGTGGGTTCCACAAAGTTGTCAAGATCAAGCAATATGGATGGAAACTAATATATTAACAAATCTTGTTATTGGAGATATTATTAATGGATTTTCATTAGAATATGATGAAAGATGTGTTACAATGGATTTTGCAATGAAATATTGTAAAACAGGATTCGTTATTGGACCACCTGATTTTACATTTTCAAAGAAAACAAATGTTTTTCAACATAATGTAGAGGAAAGTTTATTTATTTCATATAACAATTTATATGGTAAACTATTTCATCAATATAAACGTGATGCAAATCAAGTTGATAATTTTAAGTCATTGTATCAGCAAATGATTCCTTCTCATTATGTTATTCCAAGTGTTACAAGTATTAATTTTGAAGATCCAGAGTCCCTTAGACGATTTATTGTTTACGTTAGAAAAGTAAAAAATTATCAAACAAACTTCCATTCACTTACTGCAGTAGAAATTGCTGTATCTGCAAAAATTTTATATAAAATTATAACTACTATGAGAGGAGTTAAAACATTTGATCAATATCAAATTGATGATCTTTTTGATATTTTTGAACCACGAAAAGATGAAGGTTTAGTTTCAATTCATACATTTTATGATACAATTTCAGCGAGAGAAAAAGGCAATGGGAGAATTCAACATGATGCAACAATTATGAGTTTATTATTACAAGGATTTTATGAATCAATGAAATTATTAAATAAAATGGGATCTGCAAAAGACCCTATCAGTAGAGGAATATTTAGAATTCATCAAGACTTATTATGGGGATCAATTGTTAATCATGATTTATTCTATCTTAATGATTCTGGATCAATTCGTATTATTGTTAGTTCACTATTAAAAGAGGCATTAAGAGAAATTTCTTTATTCCCTATAAATGAAAGACCAGATGAATATAAACGAATTGTTAAACTTTCAGGTACATTTGTAGATAAATACACTCATCCTGCATTAAAATATTATTCAGAAAAATTTCATCTTCAAAATCAAATTGATGATTTTGATAATCAAAGTGATGAATTAGTTTATCAAATAAATAGTTTAAATAGTAATACTAATGACTCTCTTGATTCTCAAAAAAAGATTCAATTTGACCAAACAAAACAAGGAATTATTGGAGTAAAATATGGTGTTGTTTCTACAATTCAAGAAGCTGTTAAAGAATATACTGAAACATGGAAGCAGAAAGAAGGA